AACGAACATATTGATATCATTAATTCATGTAGTTTGGTCACCATTTCAAATCCATTTGGTATGGATAATAATCTAATTATCCAAGTTACTGATATTGGTCAGATGGCTCACGATATGGGAACTACTTGTAAAAACACTAATGGGAATGTTGGTAATGGAAAGTAATGGGAATGTTGTTTTTAATAATAATGAGATAGGCATTATTATTAGGAATGAGCTGGATCAATCCATTATTAACAATAATTTGACTATTAATTTTGAACCCATTGTGGATAATTCTAATTTGGTTGCCAATGTTGATCCTTAGGTGGATGATTGTTTGGTAACTAGGTTAGAATTAGAGGAATAGTGGATGAATCCTAAGACGGCTAAGAAAAGGGAAAATAAAGGCAATAGGGAACTTAGTTATGTGACCCTTGATGTTGTTATTCAATATCATATTGGTGATGATTTGGAGAAGGATAATATGGCTTCTTCCTCTAGAATTATTAGAGGATTGAAAGATTTTCTTGATGAAGTTTAATTTTTTATTTTGGCACGTTAGGGTTGTAGCTAAAGCTGATGCCTCTAATAGGCTTAAAAGTTTGATTCATTCTCATTTTCTTTTTCTTTAGTATTCTTGAACCACTTGTGGTTTCTAGAAATAATGATAAATAACTTAGAATAATTGGGCATTTTAATCTCTTTCCGAATACTAATAAAAATTTTTGGTTACTTTGGAAGGACTTGGTTAAAGTTGATATACTTATCAATCATGATCAACTCCTTCATATTAAAGCTCAAATAGACAATGATTTTTTTCTTTTTATCTATTATTTATGTCAGTTGTACAAATCATAAGAGATTGGATTTGTGGAATCTAATAAAATCTATCAATCTTATTTCTAAGATGTGGCTAGTGGATGGTGATTTCAATATTATTACTTCTACTAGGGAGAAAAAGGTGGAGTTTTTCCTAATCTTAATCATATGTCTTGTTTTAACAATACCATATTTGATGCTAGCCTTTTTGACTCACGTTTTAAAGGTAACCCTTTTTACATGGAATAGAGGTCGAGTGTTTGAAAGATTGGATAGATTCTTTACTAGTGTTGTTTGGGCTAATAAATTTAATATGCATGAGGTTCTTCATATTGCCATTAGTGCTTCTAATCATGAACATATTCTTATGAAAGTTATGGATAACATTTTTAACTTTTATTATAGATTTATTTTTTTTAATATGTGGATTATGCGCCCTTCTTTCTTAGAGTTTGTTAAGGATAATTGGAAGTGTAATGTTAAAAGTAATTCTAGTCTTAAACTTTGGATTTTACATAAAAACTTTGCATTCCAGTTTAAGAGGTGGAATTGGGATATCTTTGGCAATATTCATAACAATGTGATTGAGGCTAAAGAGAGGGTTAAGGATATGGAGTACGATTTCAGTAATGATATTATTTCTTGGGACTTGGTTTTTGAGGGTCAGCTTGACTTGAATAAAGCAATTAATATGGAAGAGAAATTTTATGCTAAAAAAAGCTACTAAACAGAAATTCAATGATGGGGGTAGAAATTCCGCTTATTATCATGCTTGTATTAAAAGAAAAGGAAAAATAATATGATTACCAACATATATAATTCTGATGGAAATTTGTTCTCCCAAAGATGGTGTTAAATACTTTATTGATCTTTTCAATGTTAATGGTAACATTATTACTTCTATTGATACTGAGATTTGTCCTAGAAATGCAGATATAAATAAAAGGAATCTTATTAATATTCCTTCCAAGGAGGAAATTAAAAGTATCATCGATAAAATGGATGATGGTAAGACTACTAGTCCGAATGACTTCACTGTTAAATTTTATAAACATCGTTGGGATATCATCAATCCTGAATTGGTTAATGCTATCCAAGATTTCTTCAAAAGGCGTGATTTGCCTATATATTTTCAATCTTCTAATATTGTTTTGATTCCTAAAGAAAAAAAAGTTGATTTTTGGGATAAATAGACATATTAGTTTAAATACTATGGTATCAAAAATTATTTCAAGAATTATTGTTAAAAGAATTTAACCTATACTTAATAAACTAATTAATTTAAACTAAACTGTTTTTACTAGGGGTAGAAATATATGTGATAATGCCTTAACTATTCAAGAATTGCTTTTGGATCTTGATAAAAAAGGTAATTGTGGTAATGTGATTTTTAAAATGGATGTTAAGAAGGCTTTTGAAACTATTAGATTTTATTATGGATGTGCTTCATGCTATGAGTTTTCAAAAGGAATTTTGTAGTTATATTCAAAGAATTATTGATAATAATTTTTATTCTATTTTGATTAATGGAAAAACTTGTGCTTACTTTAAAGCCTCTAGAAACATCAAGCAATGGGATCCTTTGTCCCCTTATCTTTTATCATAGCCTTTAATTATTTATATAAATGTTTGAATAATTTGTTTTCTAAATATCCTAGCTTATAATATTTACATAGAGGTGTGGTCGGAATTTCTCTTTTATGATTTGCTGATGATCTAATTATCTTTACTAATGCTAAGATAAGGTCCATCAAGAAAGTTTGAAATGTTATTCTTCAATTTCAAGAGATTTCAGGTATGGTGTTTAACACTTCCAAATGTTATTATTACTATTCTAAATTTGTTTATTTTGCTAAAAAAAATTGGATGGTGAATTATAAAAATTGTAATAAAACAAATCTGCCTTTGGTATATTTAGGAATCACTTCGAATAAAAATAATAAGAGGAAAGTTCTGTTTTTGGACTTGTTTGATGAAATAGAAATAGGATTCTTTCATGGGAGAATAAGTTTCTTTCATTTGGTGGGAGGATTACTATCCTCAAGTGTATACTTACTTCTATTCCTCTTTATATCGTGCAAGTTATGAGCGTGCCTTTAAGTGCTATAAGTAGATTGGAAAATTTATTTAACAAATTTCTTTGGGATGGTACTGGTAAAAACAATATTCATCGAAAAAAGTGGAATAAGCTTTGCAAGCCTCTTGATAAGGGAGGTCTGGGCTTTAGAAGTCTAAAGGATGCCATTCATATTAACTATGTGAAACTTTGGTATCGATGTAGAAAAAATTACTCGATTTGGGCCTCCCTTTTGAAGGCTAAATACTGTTGTAACACTAATCCTCTTGCTACTTCCTCTTCTAAATTTGACTCTTATATTTGGAAAGGGATCCTTAATGTATCCAAAGATACTCACACGCTTATTAATTGGGATATTAGTATTGGTAATGTTTCTTTTTGGTATGATGATTAGTTGGATAATAGTTCTTTAGTGAATTGCTATGGTGAACCTCAAGATGTAAATATCAGTGTCAATGATTTTTGGTTGGATAATAAATGGAATTATAGTAAGTTGAAGCAATTTCTTACTTATCATGATGTTAAGTTTATTTGTAACATTCCCATCAATGAGGTGAAGTTTGACACTTCTAAGATCTAAGGTATTGTTGGTGATAATGTTTCCAAAACATTTGATAATTCTTTTCAATCTTATCAGGGAGAAAATCTCATGTGGATATGGAGCCAATGGGTGAACCCTTCTTAATCTTTTTTCATATGGATACTTTTCCATAAAATACTTCATATAGATAATAATTTAAAATTAAAAGGGTAAGGATGCCTTTTTGTTGTTTACTATGTAAGGAAGATGAAGAATCTATTAATCATTTATTATTTACTTGCAGGTTTGCTGATGGGATTTAGAGCAAAGTATTTACCTTCTTTAACAGAAATTGGACTGTGGATAACTATAAAGAAATTAAGGATATTTTCTAAGATTTGAAATCTCTTGGTCATGTCTTTTTCCCCCAACATTCTTACTGTTATTATGTGGTTTATTTGGTTTACCCATAATAAAGCTAAATTTCATGGTGAGGTTACTAGAGTTAATAACACATTTATTATGATTCTTAGGCAATTAGTTAACACACTTAGCTTTAAATGTTATAAGAGTAGTGATAGCAGTAGATTTAAAGATATTTTATGTAATCCTAATATTTTGAATGTCTTTTTTAAAAATGATCAGGTTGTTGGTTGGCTAAAACCGACAACCCCTTATATTAAAATTAATGTTCTTTGTTGTTGGAAGAGTAAATAGGTGTTTGTAGGGATTTTTAAGCACGGCCATTTGTTGGTTTGTTGTGGTTCCTATTTTTGCTTTAGTTGATGAAACGAATGCTATGATTTTTGGCTTATTATTAGCTAAGAAGTTAGGCTTGCATTATATTATCTTAGAAATAGATGCTCTTTTACAATTTGAATATGTCATTGGAGCATTAACATTCATATGAAAAGAATTGAAGAGTTATCTAAGAAGTTGTGCATATGGAATCATACTAAAAGAGATGGCAACAAGGTTGCTCATTGGGCTGCTAATTTGAGGAGTATCTTACGATCTGCTACTATTTCCAAACAATTCCCTAGAGAAATTTTTCAAAGTTGTTTTATTTTATTTTTTTGTGTTCTTAATTAGGGTGAGTCGTTTTTTACCTTTTCTAGGGAGATGAATCTTGGATTTTCTTTTTTTTTGTGTGTGAGTTGTAGTGGTGTGTAGTAATTGTTTGTCGCCTTATTTTATATATATATTTTTTTTTGGTGGGCATAAAATTTCCATAGGCAGTTTATAAGAAAAATGAGGAACTTGAAGCCTAGCCTTCTTGTATTAGAATATGCTCCTTAATTAATAAAATCTCACCTTAATTATAGCAGAAAAAAGCTCAATGGCAAGGTATCCTAACGCCATAATATGATTGCTATTATAATTACAGAAAAAAAAATCAATTTCAAACAAAAAACTATTTTAATAAACTCGCAATACATACGGTTCTGAACACATTTAAAATTAAGGGACTAAATGTTTGAATAATCGTAGTCACCGTGTATATAGAACTCTGGAAGCCCGTTCAGAGCAGAGGGCGTGATATGAATTTCTTTGGAAAAGAACACTTATTTATCATTTGAAGCTATTTAAATCAAAGAAAGAGTGAAGCAATATAATCCTAGTAAATAACCTGAATTTGTCACTAATGGACAACTAATGCTAATATCTGCATTCGTAGCAGAGTTTTACTGAATCAACTCAAGACAAACTAGGGCTGAGTTTCAAAACAATTTTCACTATAATTAAAAGAAGGCAAAATCCCTTTCTAATGCCTACCTGGAACTGAATATAGGTTCAGCATCTGCAGTTGCCTGTGTTCTACGAGAATATTTGATAAGCAAACCTTCTGAAGAGAGGCCAGGCACATGTATATCTCTAGATTAGAAAAGATGAATTAGCAAGCAGGGGTTTAGAATTATAAGAACAAATAAATGTAAGACAGCATAAGTTCAGCATCTTCATCATGTTGTCTACCTGATGTAGGGCTCCAAGTCCTTCCATTCCCACTTTGGCCGCTCCCGAAACAACGCAGCGAAGCGGTCAGCTGGATTTGAAGGAAGAGTTGAGACACTGAAAACACGAATCCACTCTTCAAATCCAATTTTTTCATACAAAACCTCTCCTTCAAGCATTTTCAAATCTGCCTTCATTCCAGAGGGAACACTTTGCTCCCACTTCTCCACGAAACTCTCGAGCTTCATTTTCCCTCTGCTCAAAACACAAAGAGCAAACCGTAGACATACCTGCTTCTCATCCAGCCTCCATAAAGTGCCATCAGAACCATATAACTTGCTTCCATGAGCTTCAAGGCAGTGTAAAACTACCCTGGGTAAAAAACCATCAGCCTCCATAAGAGACAGGATGCGCTCCTCACTGAGAGCGCTTATGCTCCAGTCATGCAGGACGGAGTTACGTAAGATCATATTTAAAGTTTCATTCATGGTTTTGTCATCAACAATCCTCCAGTATCCATCAATTTCCACAGCAGATAGGGACTTCAATGCAGCTCTTACCTCTTCTTCACTTGCCTGGATCATCTCAACAAGGTCTTGCCATCTGTACAGGCCTTTCTTGTGCCTTGCACTGCCATTGAAATCTTCTTCAGGATTGTAAGGTTTCTCGCTGAGAAGCTTCTTTAACTTATCAAGCTTTGGCTCTACTTGGATCAATTCAATGTTACCTTGTGCAACTGTAATGACAGATGCAACCACTGAGCTGCCCATCTTATCATTGGCAGCTGTAGCTTTCATGGTTGGAGTTGAGCCTCCTGGGGAGATCAAGAATACAGAGTTGGACGTGCCTACAAACTTCATAGCATATGTGGATGAATGGGTGCAAAGTACAGCATCCTCAGCAGGCTGTCCTCGAATTAAAACCCTGATAATGGGGTGCAGAAAAGCTTGTGGGGCTGAAAGAGGATAACAAGGTCTAATGGACAAGAAATTGATATATAACTTTCCTGTTCGGGATTCGGAAAAGCTATAAAAAATGTGAAGTTGCTTCGCTATGTCTCAAATAAGAAAATGAAGGCAACAAATTCTCAGTTCTCCAATATTACATATGAAGTTACAGAACCTAAAGCATACTATTCCCGTTCGGATAGTTAGAAAATAAGGAGGTAATTACTACGGAAGTTTCCTGAATGATACATAATAACAATAAAGGCATTTTATTACTTCGCTTTTAAAGGGAAATCCTGAGGAAAATTTTAAGAACTCAACTTTGAAGAAGGAATTTTTACCATTAGCAGACTGCACGTTAAAGCAATCAAATAAAGTCCAAGATCTATGATAAAGGGAACATCATCTATCCACCACTAGCATGGTAAAATGAATCCTACAGAAAATCCATGGGAGAATTCTAGTAGTAAGTTAAATTATCAAATAGGACATATTTAAGAAGGATTCCTGTAAATTTGTGGACTTTTACTGGCTCATTATTCTTCAAACAAAAATGAAACTTAATAAATTCTTGGCTAACTAACATGGCAAGTTGCGTTACAGAAATTCTCCAATTTTGGCCTGCAAAAAATTTTATAAATTAATAAAGATGAAGATAAACGAAGGGACGCCACAAAATCGTATATCCTGATTAACATTATTCATGGTACCATGAAGATAATGCTTGGGTCCAATGCAGCTGCAATATGATATTTCATTTTCATGTAAGGTTGACGATGTTATAATCATGATATTGGGCTAGAGGTATTACTTTGCATTCTATAATTTTGAAAGAAACGTTAATTACTACAAGCAGAAAAAATAAGTTATGAGCTAAATGGCCCTAGACCAAGGTCTTAAATGCACCAGAAGGCCCAAATTTGCAAGGATGGCATTGTTCATATTGACTTGACCAAAGAGTTCAATCTTAACGATCTTGATCTAACAGGAGAATTTTGACTAAGGTTGACCACTAAAAATTTATAATGCGAAAAAAAAAAACAAAACCGACAATTAAACCTTAGTATGGACATCATTTGTATGCACTGATTCTGATAGATAATTACTAACATCCAGTTAGCATCATACGCATGCTTTGCATTCAGGATCCATTTGGAACAACCTTTTACCCGTAGTGTGTTTCAAATCTTTACTACAATTCTGTTTGGAGAATTGTTTTTTGCTTGTTTGCTAGAAATTTTTACGGTGAGAAGCTGCTTTTCATAATCATAACTATTAAAATATATTGGTTGCAAGAAAGTTATAGTTAGATTTTCTTAAGAAATAATTATAATGCTCACAGCAAGTTTTCTAGGAAATTATTTCCCATCACAGCTTTACAACCATATTTACAAAAAAATTACAACCGCACCAAATAAACCTTTAATGTCATGTGTACTTTAGATTGGTTTACACCACCAGTAGTTCATTGAATGCAGGATGCTTCATTCATACTTTTTATAATATGTATTATAGAGAATTTTGATTGTTTCTTTTCTTTTTTTATTTTTAACATTTGTCTGTTGACTTACCTTATTATGTGGCTAATATGTGGCTTTTATCATTAATTTTAGCACTACATGTTGAGTTAAACTCTCGCCCCTTTATATTTTTTTTTTTTTACAGTTATTGTGGTTAAGGGTATGTCTACACTAGTAATTTATACAAATCTATGTGGTCAAATTATAATATGTAGTTATGAAATTTAGTGAGACTTCTAGAATATCCTTGCTTAGTGTTTACTCAAAATAACTTGAGCAAGAGAAAGAGATTGTAGATCAAAGTAAACAATTTGCAACAATTCAGGATAGATTAGTAATCTAAAGATATATAAATGATACTATTTAGGAGGCTTACATAATATAGGTTCTTATAGGAACTATCTCCACATCTATTGGAGGATCTATCAGTTAGGCCTCCACATAACAATCTAGCATTGGATCTTATGATACAAAGGTTAAACACAAACCTCTAAAAGAGGCAACCAAAAAGAAACTACTGATCAAGTTACAAGTGTGTTAATCATCTTCTATGACACTCAAGAGTTTTTTACTTGACAAAAAACAGGTGTAAAAAGCTTTCATCAAGAACACTGATGTGAGTTGCTAAAAGATAAACAATTTCATTCTCCAGTGCATGAGATATATGTATCTCGTGTCCCAAGAGCTATGTTAACCAGCATGACTAGATAAAGTTAGGGCGTTGTTGGGACTTCATACAACGCCACACACTAGAAAACAAGGGTATCCACATCAACAAGTTGGGGATTTTTTTAGGCTTCGCTCTCACCTTTTAATAAGAGTATTAGTCACCAAAACAAAAAACTACAATTGTTGATACGAAGCCAAGACATGAAAGATTAAGAGTTGGTATTAAGATGACAATCAAACACCTAGTTTATATCAAAACTAATGAAATGAACCCAATTGAAATTCTGGTTGTGCAAGGCAGTTCCGCACAAAGACATGTCAATCTCTAATTTGTTTGTGATGAGAAGATGCAAGTTTGCTAATTGCTAGGACACCCCCGTGAATGATGTCCCACAATTTCACTTGATTATGGTGAAAGTAATCAGGGATAACCTAGGACGTCAGCCACAAGTGACATGCAATAATTTACTCTATTGTGGTGAATTATTGTGGTGAAAAAATAGGCGGAAATTGGCCAAGCAATCAACAGCAACTGACACAACATAACTTAACCTGAAGAAAAATATGCAAGGATTGATTAGGTCTAAAAAAATGATTATACCATGGAATTTGGGAAAACTTAGGGACTTTCAGAATAAGCGTATTGGTGATCACAATGATTAAAAAAAGAATAAATGACCTATTTGCAAGAAACAAAACAAAAAAAAAAAGTAGCAACTTCAATAACACTGAGAAAGCTTATAAATTATTTATGGGCAAAAGATATAATGGGCATAGAGTTGGGATGGTAATGGAAAATAGTTCAAAGGTAAAGCTGTTGAGAGAAAATGGGTTAGCATTACATTGAATTGAATGCTATCAGGCATATTGTTGGCAAATATATTGTGAAAAGTTGAGGTAATCACTTTGATAAACAAATTTTGCGAAGAGAATGATGACCTGAGGAAGAAAAGATATTTATTGGTGATAGCACTTGATTGCTTAAAAAACATAGAGACACCAAATCACAAATAGACTTATTTTAGGAGAATGCCCGACCATACAATATATAATAGTGATCAAACAGAAAAAGATTAACTAAACCGATTGCTTTAAGATAAAACTGTGGAATTTGAAAGGTAAGAAATTATTAATCTTTTTTCTAAGACAGAAATTGGAATTCCTTGGTTTGTCAAAAACTTATGTGTGATAAGATACCTTGTTCATTAAGAAAATTATTTAAAAACTTTGAGAAACAAATCATATATTAGATAAAGGATTTATTTTAGATTGAAGGGGTGAAAATGACTATCAAGGAAAAAGGAAAAGTCCTTTTAAAGAGTTACCATTTGAGCTTATATCTAAAAAGTCTAGCAAATAGGGTACAAAGCAGGGCAAAAGGTATAGTATTTAATGAATTATTTAATGAACTTGACACAAAAGAAGTAGAATAAATGATATATAACATTGTTAGAGGAATAAACAAGATATATAAAGATTTTGATTATAACTAAATTTATGTTTTCCTAGCCGTTATTATTTATTAATTCTTGAAGCTCTCCTCAATCATTTTTCTTTTCTTCTTTTTTTTTTTTTTTTTTTTTGATTGTGTATTTATTTCCTTCCCTATTTGAGTTCATTGTAATTGGGTTTAAAATACCCCTTTTTATCAATGAAAATTAAGCTGCTCTATTCCAAATCTCAACATAGTATCAGAGCCTAACCCTAGATCTTGCAACCGCTAGCCTCCTGTGCTAGTTCCAGCAGCCACCGGCCTCCTCTGCTTGGTAGCTGCTCTATTCCAAATCTCAACATAGTATCAGAGTCTAACCCTAGATCTAGCAACCGCTAGCCTCCTGTGCCAGTTCCAGCAGCCACCGGCCTCCTCTGCCTGGCTTCACAGCCGGTGGTTCCTTCCTGCTGCAGTTGTTTTCCTGTTGTATTCCAACAGCTGCTGATCTTCTGTTTCCATAAGGCTTCCTTTGTAGTTCCGTTTCTATAAGGTCAATACCCAACACAGCCGCTTCTACAGGAAGTTCCAAACAGTCGTTCTTTTATTCCATTCCCTGTCGATACCTGTTTTATTCCAAACAAATGCTATTTTTTTTCCAAACAGTCGCTGTTATACTGGAAGTTCCAAACAACCTGTGAGGACAGCTGATCTTCCAGTTTTTACATGAAGTTATATTCGAGTTCCTGGAGTTGTATCCATCTACCAGGACCCTACTGGAATACATCGATGGCTAGAAACCACAATAATATATCCTTTGGCTCTATCGGAATTATGGCAGATTCCTCCAACACTGAATCACCTTCAAAATGTGTTAGAAAGTTCGGCAAACCAGCTTACAAACATTCAGCCAAATCCTCTGCTCCCAAAGGTCTCACAACAGCGACCGATCGTACCACGACTCAACCGACTCCTACCCAGAATATCCTGAAATCCTCCGAATCACTAAAAAACCTGATGGAGCAAGTGATCAAGCTTCTTGGAACCAAGCATGTCTTTACGGGTCCGTCAGCCTCCCACGTCCAACAAGGCAATCATCCTAAGGCTCTCAGGCTTTCTTGACTTACTATCTGTGCTCTGGAAAAGATACTGTCATAGTTGTCAACGATTCATGCAGCTTCATTGCTAGTACATAGTCAATTATACTAATAACTGATCTAACTCTGGAGTCTGTTATACAAATTCCCCAGTTGCAATGTAACTTGTTATCTATCAGCAAATTGACAAATGATATTAATTTTTCTTCTGATGGTTGTGTTTTCAGGATGGTTGTTCGAAGAGGATGATTGAAACTACTAA